TTAGGTTGTATCATACTTTTGTAGTGAAAAAATCTTTTGTTGTTAGTGACCATATAGAAATATCACTTGCTAATCCCTTTGAACGAATTCTAACTTTAGAAATATTTTCTTTGATGTCGTTTGATGTCATGACAAAGATTCATTATAAAATGTCCTATGATGTTCCAATATTTTTCGAAGAAATAAGGGTGAAGACCATCTGGCTCTGGGGCTTTGAAAGGTTTAAATGAGAAAATAGCCCTCTTGATTTCAATATCTAGTAGAGGATTATCTAGTGTAGTAAGGTCTAATTTATGGTTAGTGGGATGGCTTTTCACTAAATTATTCCAGTTGTAGAAGAATGAGAGGCGGTGAAAGTATTAGTAAAATAATTAAGAACGTGTGACATGATCAAGTGGTGTTCATTAAGTTAATTTCCAGCATCATCTTTAAAGTGGTTTATTTTATTTCTTCTTCTCCTATTTGATGCTGATATGTGGAAAAATCTTGTGTTAGCATCTCCTTCGTTAAGCCACATTATCCTAGATCACATTTTCCAGTAATCCTTCTCTATTCTAAGGATGTCATTGTAGTCCTTTTTTAGATTATATTCTAATGTCCGATGAAAATCACTATGGGTATATTTACTAGATTTTTGGATTCCTTGGGGCCTTGCTAGAATTTTCCTTTTCTTTCTCATTATATCACCAAAGGTTCTGTCTTTCTAAGGCTTAATACTATCCACAAAGTTTGTGCTAGCACTGTAGTACTCTACTCCATACCAATTATTTTTAACAAGTGATTGAAATTCAGGATGTTTACACCAAAAGTTTCTAGCCAAAAAGGTTGTTTATGGCCTTGTCTATTTCTAGGAATTAATTCTACTAAAATAGGATTATGATCATAATAAGTCTTAGGCAGGTGAATTATTGAGCAATTAGGAAATAATTCTATCCACTCTTCATTTCCTAGAATTTTGTCTAATCTTTCCATAATGAGGCCCTTATTTTTTTTCTATGGTTGACCACGTATATTTGCACCCTTTATAGCCAAGATCCATTAGATAACAATTATCAATCTTTGACCATAGGTAGTTTGCTCTATTATTGTTAATAGGTCTTCTTCCATATTTTTCATTTGATCCCATAATATCATTAAAATCTCCTCCTACCATCCACGGGCCTTTATAGATTTTACAAATGTACCTATATTATTGCATGAATTTCTTGGTTCCTACGGATGAAGTTGTGAACTGTAACAACTTCATGGTTTCATATTACCACCATGCCACCTGCTTGTCCTTCTGCTAGCACTTCTATCATCTCCGAGAAGCCAAAGTCATGAAGCATTTGAGCATGGTTTACCATCCTAGTGTCCAATAATGTCACCATGCAAGGCCTGTGTGTGTCTACCATCTCCCTAAAGTTCCTCCTAAAGTTGTCATTGTCCCCCCCCCCCCTATATTCCAGATAATATAGTTAGTTGGATGATTCATGGATATGTTTAGGTTCATGTTTGTTGGATCCCCATTCTCCCTCACTTCCTCTAGAAGGACAGGGTTCCTTCTTAGTGATGGAACTAGGATCATGGCTCTATTGCCCACCGTTGGACCCTAGGGTGGTCTAATGTCCATCGAGCACTTGTACGGTTCCAGTGGGCAGTTGAGCACATGCCTCTTCTCTTGCATCTTCATGAAGAGATACACTTTTACACTGTATAGGTTTGAGAATTCTAGAACCTGCTCCAATCTCCTATCTCCTCCATGCCTGCTTCTTCGTGTTCTGGTTCCTGCATTGCCTGATGGTGTGGTGGTAATGGTTGTTGATATATTGGAGTTGCTGGTTGCTCTTGGGCTTGTTGTGTGTTCTCCCATGGCATGAAGATAGGGTTCAGTTGGGATAACATTTCTGGTGGAAAGAAGAGCATGTCCAGGAGGACATTCTGGGGTTGGATTGGGTTGAAGTGTGGTGGCATATTTCACTGATTTCTCATTGCATGCACCAAGTGTGGGTTCATTAATGGTGATAATGGGTGTAGGATATTGTTTAACCAAACCTGATTTAGGTAGTTGCTCATTGCAAGCCTCATCCCCTCGGTTACCAACTGAGCTAGGTATTGAGTGTTTTGGAGAATAACTATCGTCTCCTGGCCATTGATTTGGAGGTTGAACGAGACTGTATGTCCCATTAGGCCAATTTCCATCCACGAGACAGGCTGGTAATTCTAGCCTGTGGAGGTTGGACATAAACAATTTGTGGATTTTCTGTTTGTGGAGGGAAGGGAGGTAGGTTTTCCATGGATTGAGCTCTATGTTGTCTTAGTATTTGGATGAGTCTGTGCCTTCTCCTTAGAGTTGAAGGGATTCTTGGCATTGTTTATAGGTTGTTTTATATTGAAAAGATCACTGCAGGCATGGGATTAGAGCTACTAGTGGTGAGGGGGAGATTGGTGGCTAGGGTAATGATTGGAGCTTCAATTTGCACGTCTTTTGAGTGGCCAAGGGTTTGTTTTATAGCTAGATCTTCCATGGATATAGTATCTATTCCGTGTTCTAGGGGGGAGGCCATTTGTTCTTCACTAGACTCTTTAGAGGACATTTGGACAACATGCTTTGGAGGGATAATATTTTCGTATCTATTAGGCAGATTTTGTTTACTAGACTTGGTTAAAGATGGATTAATTTCAGCCTTTTGGTTTAATTGGTTGATAGGCAGTGTAGAGTTATGATTAGTTTTAGAGTTAATTATGTTTTTAGGGAAAATTAGTTGCATGGCACTATTTTCGTTAGTACTAAAAGTTGACATGTTAGTGTCCAACATGTCCATGTCCTCCGTTTGAGTGAACATGTGTCCATCTGCATGGTTAATTTTCATATTAGTTTGTTTTTCATTATTAGCGGTTTTGCTTAAAACCATTTGCTTGCTATCATGGAGAAGTTGTTTTGGATTGGGATGGTGGTATTCCCCATAGCCAAGTTGGCAGGAATCTTTCCACCATTGTTTTCTAAGTTTTTTGTTGGATCTTTAGATTTATATTGCAAGATTTGAGTGTCCACGTACTTACCCGTATTTGCATTGAATAATTTAACCGTGATACCTGGGTCATTATGATTCTCCATTGGATTATTGATGCTTTTCGGATTGTTTCTTGAACCTTGCCTCTTGCCATTGTTGAATGAAACTATTTTCCATTCCCCTTCTGGATCTTCCGCCTTTGTAATTAATTTTTCTTTTCCTGGGTATGAGCTTTTCTTAATAGTCTTTTGAATATAAATACATGGTTTATTGTGTCGCCAATTCTTCCACAATTTTCGCATAGAAAGCTTTCACCTTCATAGTGAATGTATTGCTTGTGATGACCAACATATATAAAAGGTTGCACTGGCATTTCCAATAGAAGTTCCACACAAAGTCTGACATAACGATCTCGTACTGTGGTTGATGTACACACATCAATTTTTAGTAGACGTCCAATGGTATTTCCAATTTTTTCAGAATTTTTCATCATAAAATTTCATTGGTAGTTGTGGTAGCCTAATCCATATTGCTGAAATAGTTAATTTTTCTTTTATGGCTACAAAGTTTGGCTTCCACTTTGTAATAGAAAGATAATGGCCATTAATGAACCATGAACCTTGATGAAGGGCCTTCTCCATATTTTCTTTTTTCTTGAATTTGATTATGTAATAGTCTTCCCCTAGATCAATTAATGAGAAATTCTCCATTGGACGGCATAGCTCTTGAATCTTTTTTTTAAGTAATGATGTAGTATACGTTTTTCAATGAGCTTTACAATGATAGAACACTTCTAGGGCTCATAAATTCTCTGTCTATCTTCCTCTGTTAGCGAGATCATTTTAATGCCTCGTGTGCTAGTATTCATTAATTGCTCGAACGTTCCTTCTTCTGAGGAGTTTCTGCCAGCTCTATGTTGGACTGGCTCAGATTAGGTGCAACGATCATTGGGTCTGAGGATATTAGCATATCTTTAAAAGACGCTTTGTTGCACGCACCACACTGTATGGATTTTGTTTGTTCGATATCGGGTGGTTTAGATGGTATTGTGTTTGAAGGTTCATAGGGTTGTGGATTCATTCTAGAGAGAGAAACTTAGAATCAGTTTATTCCTTTTTCGATTCTGCGAGCTTCTTCCAAATAAGCCGTCAATAATATTTACTGGAAAAATATTTCTATTTTTCTCACCAGGTAAAGCATTCTCCCATTTACCCGAACATATTTTACTCAATAATATTTATGTGATAAGTATTCATAGCAAGCATGATGTATTAACCTAGAAATATAGAGTAAATTGCTACAATCGATTAAGTTAACTTAATAATATAAGAATTCTTTACCCTATCAAAACGCAGGAGTAACTTAAATCCAAAAAGAAAAGTACACAAAAGAACATGAGTCACGACCACTTTGCATTGTGGTGGATGTCATCAGCAGATATAGCAGTTTGCATCGTCACCAGAACTTGGAAAGAGACCTACTACCAAACACAAAGACTCGAGATAATGCCCACCTTCTCATTCATTATTTTCTGCTTTATAGATGGACCAATAATTTTAACTCTATCTATCATTGCATTTACTATGGTAAATAGTACACAAATATAATATTCACCGTAAATTATACTCCATCTGTTTCAATTTATGTGAACCTATTTCCTTTTTAGTCTGTGTCAAAAAGAATGACCTCTTTCCTTATTTGGAAACAATTTACCTTTATGCAATGATTTATAGCCACACAAAGTATATATGCCTCATTTACACCACAAGTTCAAAAGTCTTCTCTCTTTTCTTAAACTCTGTGCCCAGTCAAATGGTTTCACATAAATTGAAACGGAGGGAGTAATAATAAAGAATAAACACTAAACACTGTAACTATAACGATAACAAACAAGAAATTAAAATATAAATACCAAGATTTTAGTGTGAAAAGTCCTTCTCAAATCATGGCTAGAGTCTAGAGAGGAGAAAAATAGTATCACTTTTATATTTGATAGTCTCGAATAAAGTACTCAAGAGACTACTAACATGACTTAGAAGATAAAATATTATTTTGAGATATAACTCATTATAACATCGCTGACGCTTTCTATTTTTTCTGCGAATTATTTTTGTTCTACTTGCTTGATTTTTAAGAAGTGAATTTATTTATTGCATAAGGATTAAGGATGTTGGCCTCCAAGAAGCATTAAAGAAAGTAGTAAATGTTTTATATGTAATTCTTCAAGCAATTGGGGCTGGACCCCAAACATTTTTTATGATAATATATTAGAGTTTAGTAGCAATTATTGATGCACCTGCTACTCCATTTAATACTTGCATCTTTATTTCCCTGCTTGGTTTTTCTATTTTCTTTTAAATTAAGTTAGACATATATATGTTGCTGGATTCTAGTTTTGCTAGCTAGATTCTGTGTCCACATGATGTGCAATATTTCACTTGTGTCCATCATCAACTTCTTTTTGCTCTTTTATAGAGTTGTCCTACCACAACATGTTGCTGCTTCTCACTCTACCGTTGAATTTCTTCCTGGATTTGAAGGTCGACTTCCCTTCCATCTTGAGACTGGGTTAGTTCTTTTCCCCTTCTACCCCTACATCCTTAACATTTGTAATTTTTTCAATTTTTATTTTCTTACACCGCTTATTATAGGAAGTTGTGGAGGTCGCGCATTAGGGTTGTAGGTTAGGAGATAAGAGGCTAGTATGATAGTTTTTTGTTTTAGGTTGCTAGTGGCTCCAGTTGTGTTCTTAATACTTCATTAGGGTGGTAAGTTAGGCTGTAGTTTGTTTAGTAGCCCTTTGTATACATATTATTCCCTTGCGTCTGTAGTACTGTGCCTTTGTTACTGCTTAGTGTTATTACTTTGCTCTCTATTTTCTGGTTATTGCGTTGCTAGTGTTATCTTTCTGGATTCCTTTGTTGTTACTGATACACTGTCTCTTTCCTTCTTGTGCCAAGGGTCTACCGGAAACAGCCTCTCTACTCCTCCGGAGTAGGGGTAAGGTCTGCATACACACTACCCTCCCCAGACCCCACCTGTGAGATCTCACTGGGTTGTTGTTGTTGTTTATTATGGAAGGGAGAGAGGAAGCGGGTCAATGAGAATTGAATAACTAATGCTTTAATTGGATACTGCATCTGCTAATTAAACTGCAAAATCAAACTTAAACTATTTCGAAACCGGTTAAAGAAAGAGAAGAATTGTTGAATGCATGTATTGCCGGATTTAAGTGTATTTGTTTTGATGTCACTCTAAGATGGTCGTTGGGCTAACGTTGGCCGCAGGTATATTGGAGTAGGTGAATATGAAGAAGTGCAGCTATTTTATTATTTTCTTAAATCAGAAACAGAACCCACAAAAGATCCTGTTTTGGTTTGGCTCTCAGGAGGACCTGGTTGCTCTTCCTTTACTGCACTTGTTTATCAAATAGGTACTCCCTTTTTTTCTTTTTTTACTACATTCTAACCATGGGCGGAGCAAGGGGTTCATCAGAATTCCCTTCGCGGAAAAAATACGAACACGGTCAATTTTTTCTTTATTATACATAATAGATATTGAATTCCCTTGATACTAATTGCTTTTTTAAAATTATATTTCGATTGAAATAATCACTTGCTAAATGTAGTACTCCTTTTTGGTATTTTTACTTTGTGATATCTACTTGGTAATCTATGCTCCTTGATTTCTTTTGCATATATAGGGCCCTTGTATTTTGAGCCAAACGAGTATAATGGGAGCCTTCCAAAGCTAACATTGAATCCAAACTCATGGACCAAGGTTTCATGATTTAAAGGAAGATATATTTTGTCATTTAATTTGCAAGTGAATTTTAGTGTAAATTTGAAAGGCCACATCTAAAAATGTCAGGTAGCTAACATAATATTCTTGGATCAACCTGTGAATAGTGGCTTCTCCTATGCAACAACTTCAACAACATTCAAGTCTACTGATCTACAAGCATGCGACCATATCTACCAGTTTTTGCGAAAGGTACACATTAGAGTTCTTATGCTACCTACCATACCTACTAATTTGTTAGACAAAAAGAAATTAAATAAGTAGATAATTATAATATTTGATTGGATTCTTTTTCTTATATAGTGGTTGATTAAGCATTCAGAGTTCATTAGGAATCCAATGTACATTGGTGGAGATTCATATTCTGGCATCACTGTTCCGGTTATCACTCAACTAATATCAAATGGTAAGATATATGTGATGTGAAGTTTCATTATAAAGAATATCTAAGTATTTAATTCCAGAATGTATTTTATTTTAGAAAAATTACACAGTATAGCAACTCTCAAAATAATAGACGAAATAATATATTTTTTTTTGTATATATATACATTTCTATATGTTATATAAATAAAATATACAAATATCATATATTTTTGCAGCTACAAGTGTAAATAGTTTGGTCGCGGGCTAAAAGTGATCTTCGCCCGTATTTTTTTCGGCCTATTACAGTTAGAATCTTTGCTGTGGCATTATGCTTTTATTACGTTTTATTTTCGAGCTAGGAACAATACCGGTTTCTGAAAATTCCTCTATCAAATTTAGCCCAAAAAATAGGGAGAAATTCAAAAATAGCAGATTTTCAAGTGGGGTCATTCAAAAATAGCCACAGTTTCAAAAGTAATCGAAAATTAGTCACCTTTCATGTAAAGATAAATCTGAACGAAAACATTGTTCAAAATCCGGAAAAATACTCCAGCATAATATACTGGAGTTCCAGTATAATATACCGATCCAGCATAATATGCTGGGAGTTCATACACAGGTGCACCGATCTCTAGTATATTATGCTGGAACTTCCATGTCACAGTAAAATAGTGGCTATTGTTCAATGACTTTGCAATGGCTATTTTTGAATGACCAATCCGAAAAATGGCTAGCATGTGTTATTTTTACCAAAAAAATATAGCCTGCCAATACTTGAGCGGGTTGGATTGAACATATATCCATATCATATTCGTCATTTTTGGGATGGCCCAAGTTGGTTCGTAAAAAAGCTTGTAGCACAAATTGATCCAAACGAAAAAATTTGAAAAGTTAGAAAAGTAAGTTTTAATGATTTGTTTGATATAAAGCAAAAGAAAACACTTTTATTACTTTAATTTGGTATTTACGAGTTAGGCAGGTTGGGTCAAGACAGATTATTTAGTCCAAATTGATCTGGCAATTTTTTACCTTAGTAAACTCTGGACGAGTTATGACCCAATCGGTTTGTTAGTTCAACCAATTTTAATCCGCTCAAAAATTACATTTAACACCCCTATCTTTAGCTGTAGAGGGTATTTTTATTTCATGTTCACACTGAGGAATAAGGATGTAAAAATGCAGGAATTGAAGCAGGGCACAAGCCATCGATTAACCTTAAGGTTTGTGGTCTTTTTGGCTTAAGAAGAAATTTCTTTAATATAATTTGCTTATAGGGAAGTGTCGTTTTGACGGTTAATTAATTGGTTTTAGGGATATATACTTGGGAATCCTAGCACGTTTCCTCTTCAATATAATTACTGGATTCCTTATGCTCATGGAATGGGACTTATCTCCGACGAATTTTATAAGGCTACTACTCTTATCCTTTACTTTAAAATTTATCATATCATAAATGCAATTAATTTAGCTTAAATGGTACTCTGAAAATGACAATTCAGAATATCTATTTTAGCAGTTACTGTTGGAAAATTGTAACGGGGAAAATTTACAATATGTTGACCCCAGCAATGTTTTGTGCTATCACCACTACCAAACTTTCGAACAGGTATATATAGTATTATAGTTTTGGATTAATTTAACTCATATAGTTTTGCTTTAACATTAACATTCTGGTATATACTACGTAATTGCAGTTGATTAGTGGAATCAATAAGCCACACATCCTAGAGCCCTCGTGTGGTTCTGATGCAGAATCTCAAAGATCATTTCGATTGTTTGGAGAAAGAAGATCTCTTTATGAAAATTATTCCACTAAGTGCCGTGTACGTCCATTCAAACCTATGCTTTTTTATTATTTGGTCAAATTTCAAACCTACATATGCTATTTCTACGTTATTGTTTTGAAAAAATAGACGAATAAAACAATTGATGAACTATATATAATTTGTTTTGTGTTCTTTAAATGATTTAACCTATGTCCATAATTGTAGGTTGAGGTGCACAGGTTATCTACTTACTGGGCAAATGATCCAAGAGTACAAGAAGCTCTTAATGTTCGTAAGGTACGTCAACTAAATTATTTACATAGCACTTTAGAAAAGATACTTCCATCAAAAGACAACAAAATTGACGTTACCTCATTTTCTATTTAATTTAACTATGTTTTATAATGCAGGGAGCTATAACAAGATGGACAAGATGTAGGCAAAGTATCGTGAATAAAACTTACACTATTACTTTTCAAGATAGCATACCTTATCATGTGGAACTCAGCAAAAAACTTTATCGATCACTTATATACAGGTTAGATGATTAAACATTTATGTTTTACGTGTAGAAAGAGGTGGAATTTGCCTCAGTTATATCTGAAATGGAGCAATTTTAACTTCCGTTAAGCTTTTGCTCTAGCTAATATTACCCTTGCCATTAGAAAAAAAGTCGCGTTCTTGACATTGATCCCTAATGGAGCTCCAAGTACCAAAGGGTAATTTTAAACTAAAGTCAATTGTTATGGAATATGTAAAGTTGAACCTTTTCTCTCGAAGTTTGAACACATGGAGTCCATCCCTTTTATGCTGGAACTTCATTAATGACAAAAACAAATACGAGACGATTTACTAATAGTAAGGATATGAAAGTAGAGCAATTTTAGATGGTATAGGGGCAAATTTGGATATTTTTCCTTTTTACAAATAGCTTTTTTGCTTTTGCCAAATACGAATAATTACGATATAATTGTTTGTTGCAAACACATTGAAGTATTTTCTTTGGTCACGCAGTGGGGATCATGATATGGGTATTCCATTCCAATCAACTCAATTTTGGATAAAATCTCTAAATTATTCTATTGTGGATGAATGGCGGCCATGGCTTTTTGATGGTCAAGTTGCAGGGTATAGCTTCTCAAATTAAATTTGTTTTCTTGCTTGTTTCGTTAATTTTCATCAGACAGACATGCATATTTAGAAAGGTAAAATTTGGTTTTCTTCTTGCTCGTTTGCAGTTATACAAGATCCTATTCCAACCAGATGACATTAGCAACTGTCAAGGCAAGAGTTTAACTTTCAACATCAAAGATTTTTTCCCTTCATGCTTTACAATAAAATTTATTAATGAAGGGTGTGTTTGGTGTGAAGGAAAATGTTTTCTTTGAAAAATATTATTTTCTTGGAAAATGTGTTATTGAAAAATAAGTGATTTTCTTATTTATTTTTCAGTATTTGGCTAGGCAGTAGAAAATATTTGTGAAAAATATAGTATTTCCTCCGTTCTAGTTTATGTGAACCTATTTCCTTTTTGGTCCATTCCAAAAAGAATGACCCCTTTCTAAATTTGAAAACAATTTAGCTTAAACTTCCAGTTCTACCCTTAATGACAAGCTTTTATAACCACACAAATACTCTGAACCCCTTTTTGACTTGTTTAGAATCACAAAATCCAAAAGTCTTCATTTTTTCTTAAACTCCGTGCCCAGTCAAACAGGTTCACATAAATTGGAACGGAGGGAGTATAATTTAGGCATACACTAACTATATGAGACGAAATGAGTAAGGGTGGGGAGGGCGGTAGGTCAGAATCTAGCGGCCGGAGAGCCGGAGGCGATCTTAAGGGGTGCGGGGTGGGTGGGGGTGGGGTGGATGGTAAGCGGTGGGGGTGGGGGTGGATGGGAGTGGGGTGGGGTTAGGGTGGGGTGGCGAAGGTTAAGAAAGAGTTTTGAAAAATATGTTTCCTCCTTTTAGTATGGAAGTCATTTTTCTCCCCAAGGAAAATATTTTTCAAAATATTTAACCCAATCAAACATAAAAAAAAATTAAAAATATTTCCTTCATACCAAACACATCCCGTAAAGAACATTTCGAATATAATATTTTGATTCTACCTTGTTAACTTTGTGTTTGGACAGGGAGCAGGACATGTAGCTCCTGAGTACAAGCCCAAAGAGTGCTTTACCATGTTTCAAAGATGGTTATCTCATGAACCACTTTGAATTTACTATCAGAAGCAAGTAATAAGAATATAAAATCTCAATTTTTTGTGTTTAAGTTGATATCCCATTAGATGTTCAAGTTCAGACGACCTTAACGGTCTGGTCATCTAAATAAGTCTTTATTATCAGATTAGTTCCAATGATGTTGTTACACCGTTTCTGACCTCGTCGATGCTTGTCTAGTTATTTAGATCCATTAAATAATTGTAAAATTAAAAAGTAAACGTATTTAATGACTGAGATCTGAATAATTAAAATTTAGATCTTCATTATGTGCAAATAGATTAGGCTTAATTGTCCTGAAAACTATATCAATGTACTTTCAGCTGTATATTTATACTCCATCCATCTCATATTAACAGTCGTGATTTCTAAAAATAGTTGTCTCAAATTATTTGTCATTTTAGAAGTTCAAGAGTAAATTAATAATTTTTTTCCTATTCTACCCTTAATATTAATTGTTATTGAAGACTACAAACACCTTAATTATGAGTAAGCAATAAATGAAGAGAAATTATATTTTAAGACATAAATAAGGGTAAAATTGTCAATAAACTTTTCTATTTATTATTTTCTTAAAGGACGTGTAAAAAAAAAACACGACGGATAATATGAGACGGGGGGAGTAAATTAAAATAAGCAATGAATTTCTCTCTTTTCCTAGCTCATCATCGCCTTTTTATCTTGACTTGTATTAGCGAGGTAAGTAAATGAAAGGAGCTGGAGCTGGAGCTAGAGCTTAGTGTCTTGACCCGCCACATCATCATGCCACGTAGGTGCCAATTGGCATATATCAATGCCATGTGGAAGCTTACATAGGAGGGAGGGTAGCATTTGTGAGAAGATTTTAGAGAAGTATGGACATTTCCTTTTGAAGACCCTAGATCCTTATGGAATTGTTAGGAAAGTCCTTGGAATCTTCTAGACTTGTAGAAAATTCTAGAGGGTGTACTTATTTGTAAATATGGAAGGACTTGTGGAAGAATTATTATTTACCCACTAGCCCCTAGGTGATTAGTATAAATAGGAGGGGCATTCATTTGTAATTCACCAAGCAAACAATTCAAGTTTTCTCTAATACAAAGCTTCCTTTAACAATTCTCTTGTGTTCTTTCTAACATTTCCTTAGCAATCTTAAGTGTAGTAAGGCTGACTTGGCATAGCAAGAAATGTATTGGTCAAAATCTGACCGTTGTGGTCGACCCAACCGAGATCCCGTCCAAGCGGCGAGACAGCAGAAGACGACATGGTTCGCTCTAAACCCCGTACTCACAACACCCGTCGAGTCAAAGAACGATACTCAGAGAACGACAAAAGCGGACGTGGTATGAAAGTGTATTGACCTAAGAACATAGTGAGGATTGCATAACTATATATAGGTAGGGAACCTTCCTAGATAGGGTTTTTTCTCTCTCTCTCTCTCTCTCTCTTCTCTCCCCCATGTAATCTTCTTAGCAAAAGAAAAGACGAAAGAAATCTTGGAGGGAGGATGTAAACTGATTATCTCCATCGATTGTAGGGAGAAGAAATGAAAAATATCAATAATATTGATCGCCCCTATTTCATTTTATGCATTATCTTCTTATTTGTTCATGGATCTAGAGGTTTTTATGTTTGACTAAGATTTACCTATTCACCTTCTTTAATTAATATAATCAAAAAGGTTTCAATATCTTTTCGATCGAACAATTTGGGCCGTCTGTGGGGATTTCTTAGTGAAACTTCCTAGTCTCCTCCAGATCAAAAATGGGAAATATGATCACTCACCGAAACGAACAGTAAGTAAACTTCACACACCCACCTAGATCATGGTGCTACATACAAGCAGAAGTTGCAACCAAAATCCTCCCCCGCACGCCGAGCGGCCCATGAGCCAGCCAAAACGAGCCTAGCCCGCACAGGACAAAGGCACAAAAAAAAGGGGAAGAGAAAGAGAGCTGAATACGGTTACGGAATTCAGAGAACACCACCCCATCAACCATCGGAACGCCAAGCAAAGCGAGTAACGCCATAGATCCACCTTCATTCACCAACTCATCGGATCGGGATAAGGAGAATATAATCCTGGCCCACCCCCATCAACCATCGAAACGCTAAGCAAAGCGAGTAACGCCATAGATCCACCTTCATTCACTAACTCATCGGATCGGGATAAGGAGAATATCATCCCGGCCCACCCCTTGCTGTTTGCCCAAACAGGAACGCAAGTGCCGCGTGGGCGAGCGAGAAAAGAAACATCCCAACTGGAGAAGGGGAAATTACTACGAAACAACCGAAATATCGTCCACCAGACAATCCCAACTCCTGGGAAATGATGCCCCTTAAGTGATACCCCCTTTCCCTCACCAAGAAGGTGTCCCAAAAATGCCTTCCCGGAGACTTAAAGACTGGGCCGATGAGGGGGAACTCCCCAAGATCAAAAGGCCGACGAGGAGAAACTCCAATAGGTGCGTGAAACGAGTGAGAGGAAAGCAGCAACGTTTATCTCTCTTCAACACCACATTTCCCGACGCGAATAAAATCAGGCGAACTGGGACTCCCCCAGAAGATACCTAACTCTCCGGAAAACCCGGACTCATGACGAGTTAATATTTCGACGAGAGTTCGAATGACACCCTAAAGGCCAAGGGCCTTCGCCAAAAAGAAGAGTTCGACCTCGATCGAACAATGACGGGTTAATATTTCGACGAAAGTTCGAAATAACACCCTTAAGGCCAAGGGCCTTCGCAAAAAGAAGAGTTCAATCTCAATTGAACAACGACGGGTTAATATTTCAACTAAAGTTTGAAATAACACCCTTAAGGCCAAGGGCCTCCACCAAAAAGAAGAGTTCGACCTCGATCGAATAACGACAGGTTAACATTTCGACGAAAGTTCGAAATGACACCCTTAAGGCCAAAGGTCTTCGCCAAAAAGAAGAGTTCGACCTCGATCGAACAACGACAGGTTAATATTTTGACGAAAGTTCGAAATAACACCCTTAAGGCCAAGGGCCTCTGCCAAAAAGAAGAGTTCGACCTCGATCGAACAACGACAGGTTAATATTTCGACGAAAGTTCGAATAACACCCTTAAGGCCAAGGGCCTTTACCAATAAGAAGAGTTCGACCTCGATCGAACAAAGACGGGTTAATGTTTCGACGAAAGTTCAAAATAACACCCTTAAGGCCAAGGGCCCTCGCCAAAAAGAAGAGTTCGACCTCGATCGAACAACGACGGGTTAATATTTCGACGAAAGTTCAAAATAACACCATTAAGGCCAAGGTCCTTCGCCAAAAAGAAGAGTTCGGCCTCAATCGAACAACGACGGGTTAATATTTTGACGAAGGTTCGAAATAACACCCTTAAGGCCAAGGGCCTTCGCCGAAGAAAACTGGGACTCACGACGGGATAATACTTCGATGTAAACTCGAAAGTAACATCCTTACGGCTAAGGCCGCTATTAGAAAAAGAATTCGATACAGTTCGGACTTTGATGGGTTAGCGCCTTGACATAAGGTGAAAAGCAACGTCCCATCGGCTAAAGGCTTCATCAAGGCTCTACTCAACCCGCGTGACATTGAAATCCCCTAAGAAGCGGGAAGTCAGCACGCGGAAATCTACTTTGCATCAAAATTATGAAGAGCAGAATAGGAAAAGGAGTACAGAAGGCATGTAACAATGAAGATTCCTCTTTATATAAAGCTACTGCGCAAACAGCCGCAGATTACCTACAGCTAAAACCAACGGAGTCCAAGAAAAAGAGACAAAGATAGCAATTCTTTCACTTGGCACCATCTCCAGGAGATCCTCCCTCATCACCCGCGCCGTCATCAGCTTCCGGCGTTGCAGAGTCATATCCACAGTTAACACGAGCCTCTCGGGCCTTCGCCCGTGCTCCTTCATATGCGGCCTCGATAACGTTGCCCGCCTCCCACAAACTTTTGAAGATATCCCGGTGGGCTTCAGCATGAACCCAGAGCTCGTGCAAATGACGGGGAACAGCGGTAGAGGAGGATTCGACTTGAGCCAACAGTTGCTCCTTTTCGGCCTCAAGAGCAGCGACCCGGTCCCCTAGGGTCGACACCTCCCGGTCGATCTCACCGATACGCTCCTCAAGCCTCGCTTCCATTAGCATGGCCGTCGCCCTCTCCGATTCTTGCTCATATTGGAGGATGCGGATGGTGTTCTCTAAAGTCTCCGCCCTCGCCAAAGCCGATGACCAGGCACTCTCGATATTTTCCAAACCGGCAACCTTTCTCTCCAACTCGGCCAACTTCCCCATCCACTCCGTGACCCTAATAAGATTCTGATCCATCTCAGATTGCATAGACCTCAACTTCTCCTGAAGGTATTCGCACTCTGCAGCAACCCCTTTGCCCAACTCAAGTTCTTCGTCCTTTGCACGAAGTTGCTCCTCGAGTACACTACTTCTGCGGATAGCCTCCATCAGTTGCTGGTCCCTCTTCTCCAATTCCTCGCCGAGGGATCGAGCATCAGGGTTCGCCTTCAGCCGCTCGTGCATCTCACGGCACTTATCGTGATAGCGCCGATATTTCCCCAGCATCGTCAGGAAAATCTTGGCCCAAGTATCAGCCCTACAAGCACTTTCAATCTCCACCATATACGTCTGGAAAACGAGAAGACAAGCTAAGGCCAGATCGACAAGAAAAACGAAAGGAACATGAAAGAAAAGTGAAACGTACCCTCAAGCCCATAGCGGCCACTTCATGCATCAAATCAATATCAGGAACGTTTGGAAGAGCCTCGCTCTCGGCGGCGGAGATGTATAATATCTTTTATTCAAAAGTAATATGAAACGAGTTATAGTTATGTTTTATCATTCAAATAAAAAATTAAATATATTAGGTAAAAGTTTAATTAATTTTAAACTCCTAACATTGAAAAAAAAAACCTATACTACAATTATGTCGATTACTCCTCAAATGATAGTTTATGCAGGTGACGTGCATGAGAGAAACAAAGGCTTAGATTATTTTAGGTGGTTTCCATCATATCTTAAGTGGTTATTCCAACACTAAGCAATATTTTAAAATCCTAAGGTATTTATAAGTTAGAATTCCTTTTATTCTAACCAAATAGAAAGAAAAACAAAAGAGCAAAAGTTTGTTTGATTTGGCTACTGCATACCCAACAAATAATACATATTTGCTTCAGAATATAAACGGATTGTATATTTCTTATTTTTAGTTATTTATATTCTATAATTACAAGTCAAATCAAATAGTAATAAAAGTTTATTATTTCTAGAATTATTTTGTGAAACAGACAAATCTTTTGAAGGTCCCCCTTGTTAGAAAATTTGTTTTACCTAACGAAAAGATGAAAAGTATTTTGCTTTTACTTTTCCTTGTTAATCCTTCAAAATAAAGCTAAATTAATTGAATTTTAAAGTACTAAATATTAGTAACTTTTTACATAGTTCAAATAAGGAAGGATAGTTCAATTAAAGAAAGTTTTGATTATAAATAAAACTTAGTTCATTTCAAATTCCTAAATAATAGTAAATAATTAAATGATTATTCCTAAACATTAGGAAATCTATTGAATGACTATTTTTAAATATTAAAGAAATAATTAAATTATTATTTTATCCAATGTGAAGTCTCTTTTTAAAGGGTAAAAAATACGAACGACATTTTGCTAAGGGCGTTCATGCTTTTAATATATATNATCCTTTTGATTTTTTATTACAGTTCTATATTTGATTCTATATCATATATATCTCTCATTCTATATTTATTTCAAATTCTAATTGTTTAATGGAATGGTTAGTTATAACTAATGAGACATTCCTCCGCTTTCAGGCGAAAGTGAAGATAAAAAAAAAGAATCGACCGTTCAAGTATTCCAAATTGAATGGCAAAATGGCAGGAAGAGAGACATATAGATGGGGTATATATCCATCTATATTGAATTGCGGATTCCGAAATGATAAAATCATTTTTGATTGGACAAAAAAAGGTCTCCTATAGAAGATAGTTAAGAAAATCAAAGAGGAGAAAACACGTTTTCGAGATAGGAATCGGTATCTAATGAATTCAATG